ATTCCTGGCCCACGGGTTCACAGAGACAGCGATCGGTCTGGCAGAGGCGAGGGGGTGCGTGCGCGGGGGATACACGGGATACGGGATACGGGATACGGGGTGCATGCGTCAGTCCACGGCCACACGCGCTCTCGCTTTCACAGTGCGCTGCGGACGCCAAAGAGCCTCTCTTTCTTGCTATCCCCCCGCATACGCGATGGAATGGACGCTAGACGACTGCGCGGCCCACCCAATGACCGCGCTGCTCCTTCAAGCCTCCGGGGCACGCTTTTATCGCAGAATCCGGCGCCGCCGTACCCTCTCTCGCCCGGTGGGACTTATCCTCCGTCTACGTGGAGGTCGATCGTATCGCCCCCCGCCCCGTGCCACCCATCTGGAACGGGGGTCTCACCTCGAAGTAAGGTGAGGACGCGCTGCTCCCGCTTGCGATTGCACCGTGGCCTTTCATCATCGTCCTCCATCCGAATCCGCCTCGTCTCGAGTTCATCCCTCCCCCCCCCTCTTCTCCTTCCCCTCGTCCTCATGCACCTTCCTTCGTCGAATATCCGCCTCTCCGCTCTGCATATACTTGCCTGAGTTCTCTCCTGAGCTCTACCTACATATGGCATATCCTTTGTTCCTGTCAGTTCGCTGTTCCTCCAATGAACATACATACTTGCTTATCTACACGCGCTCGTATGTAGCAGAACGGGGATTTGTCCGCCCGGCTGATCGCAATAATCCTTCGCAGAACTAAAAATTCGATTTTATATTAGAGACTGGTGTTTGTGAACGTCCTCGGTGTCGATGAGCACAACCTCGCACCACTGTACCGCTGAGAAACAACTTCACTATTTTGAGAATCGTGGAGCTTACGAGGTGCTTGCAAGCTGGCACCGCGATAACATGACCATGGCTGACGCCGTGGAGAAAGAAGCCAATATCGATGATAAAGGTACCTCTGCCGTCTCCCCGTTCCTAAATGTGGTTTGATTTTGGTGAAATAGGCCATGAAGCAGCCGCAGCCAAAATGTGGGCGGTCTAGTACATCTCCGAAGCCGAAGGCTCTCGTTGCGAGCTGGCGGAGCGACATGGATGACATGCTGATCATCAATTCGTGCGCTTTTTATTGTTGCCTATCCATCCCTTCGCCGACAGCCCTTTCAGGCTGCGAGCTTGACAGCGTTCATCGTCGATACTCGCTCTGGACTCTGGAGAGGCTACCGTTGCGCTTCTGGAACAAATCTCCGGTCAGCTTTCCAGGTAGGCTGCCAACAACACGCTCGCAGCTGTCCCGGCCCCTCCATCCATGCCCTACGACAGCCCTCATCTGCAGCGCTCTCTGGCTCATCAGCTTAGGGCTCACTCTGAGCTCCGCTCTCATCGCCACTTTTCTAGAGCAATGGGTGCGCGACTTTCTCCGCAGGGCCGAGTTGCGATCTGCACCAATTATTCAAAGCGCATATTCTCGTATTTATACTACGGGTTAAAGCGCTTCGACATGTCATTCCTCTGCTATTGCATGCGTTGGGTGGGGAAGGGGAGGTATATCGTACTCGCGCGGTCCAATTATGTTTGATACATACATAGTAGCCGGCTGCAAGCCAATTTGTTCTCGGAAAGCATCAGCAACCAATCTTTTAACCAACAAAAAGTGCTGCCACAGCTACTGACTGGATTTTTGGATTCATGTATGGCTCTTCAAGTCAAACCAACACCGTTCAGTCGCTCATTTATTCCTCGGCATCTCTTTCCTAGGATACCCGATTCTGTGGCAGGGTACACCAATACAGAGTGTTATTACCACACCCCTTTACTGGCTGCAAGCCTATCAGTTCGTCATAAACTGCATCACGGTATATTCCACAGTAAGGTGCGATGAGAAAGTTTTATTTTGACATTCCACTGAAGCTTGTGTAAATTTAGTGGCCGAATTTCGCAAAATTTTACAATTCCCAACGAATGAAGAACATGTTTGCAAAGCTGGTCATGATAGGCCGTTCATAAACCGACAAAAAAAAAAAAAAAGGAAGCCTCCGGCCTCTCAGGAATTCGACAATATTTTCAGGGATTAAGTGCCGGCACAGGGCCCGAATAAATTTAAACAGACCATCTGGACCGAACCCGTTAGACGCAACAGCTACCGATGGTAGACTCGTAACCAGTCTGTAACCAAATAGCCGAAAATGTGGCAAGCACTTCGGTGGTTACAGACTGGTACAACTCGTTGACAGCGATTGGGCTGACCGCGGAGTTTGAAATTTTTTCTAGGGTCTTGTTCTGGGGTGCATTTTGGATATGAATAAATTTGGGACACATGGGAACGATTTGACCTTGAAAATGACGAAATCTGCCTCTTCACTTATTTTTTAATCCAGCTTGGGAGAGTGTAAAGAACTATCAACTTTTGACCAGAATTGATGGATATTGATGGCTCGCTTCGCGGCCGATCGCGGCACCTGCCAAAATTTCAAACTCCGGGGACAGCCCAATCGCTGTCAACGAGTTGTACCAGTCTGTAACCACCGAAAGTGCTTGCCACATTTTTCGGTAATTGGTTACAGACTGGTTACGAGTCTATACCGATGGTCATACAGATATTAAATATGACTGTGTGTATTGAACTCGTACGGGACTCATACTGCCATGCGAAGCATTGGCCACAAGCGCAAGTTATTTCGAACGACTACTAGTAGTAACCATCGCCAAAAATGATGCGTTCGAATTCGGAAAATGAGGGGAGTGGCGAGTCGGCGGCCAAGTAGTGGCGAAACCTCGAAGTAAATGATTCTTCCCAGTCTGTGGTGGATTGCGTTATTATCTTTGCCTGAATTTCAGGGCACATGAGCCGTTGTACGATTTGGGTAGCCGTTGAGCGCATAGCCGGCTGCTCTTCCCAGCAATTTTGGAGTAACTCCGCGGAGAACATCCCGCTCGTTTTCCCAGCACCCCGGCCGTGCACCCGACTTTTCTGGACGGCGTTTCGCCCCCTGCTTCCCTTCCTCGTCTTCCCGTCCTCCTACTCTCTGCACATCGCCACCCTTGCCCGCCCCGCTCCGCACGCCCCCCGCGCTCATCACGAACCCCGCCGATCCCGCGGATGCGTACGCGTACATCGGCGCGCACTGGAAGGACGCTACACGTACAATAAAGCGATTCGGCATCTTCGGGGCATGTGGCCATGGGTGAGTCGTCTCTGTGTCTTTTTTTTGCCGTTTTTGTGGAGTTTCTGTTTTTTTCTACATACTTTTTCTTCCTGCTTGTTCGTCGGCCGTATTTCTCACTGTGTGGGTGTTCCTTCCCTCCCACTTTCTTTATTCTCCTCATTCCGCCCTTTTTTCCTCCCCTTTTCGTGGCGCAGTCCCCTGTTTTCTGTTCTTCTTCTCCGCTCTCCTTTCCTCTCTTCAAACTTTTCCATTTTCTGCTCTATCCGCCCCTCTTGCACTTCCCGTTTGCGTTCTAATTCCACTCCTCTCATGCCCGTGGAATTTCTTCTTTGCGAACAGGTTCTTTTTTTTTCTACCCATTTAAGCGTCGTTTATTCTGTGCGTCATTCCGCATACTTTTTCCAGATTCTTTCCTCCCTTCACATGATTTCTTCCCTGTGTTTTGGTTTTTTGGTTTTCTGTTTGCGAATACGCTCGTCGGCGGTGCAGCCATTATTTGTCCGCCTTTGTGAGGTGCACGGGGTAGAATTGGCGGCATGGGTGCTGCATGGATGTATGCGGTGGGTTTAGGCATAAATGTGCCGTGCAGCGGGGCATGGCGTGCTGCGCGAGCATGCAGGGCGCGAGGCGGGTTGGGGTACGTGAACTGTGCACGACTCTGCGCGCACCCTTCTCGCGGTCCGTACGCATCTCGGACGTGTGCGGTGCTGGACTGATTTAGGGCGTAATTTCCTTTGTCACCATTCCTGTTCTCTAGATATCCTTCCTCATTAATATTATTCGATGGAATTGGCGCTCGCGCACGTTCATTCGTTCCGTCTTCGTTCCATCATACATACCTGACTGCCTCGGGACCTGTAGGCCTGAATACAAAGGATTTTTTTATTTCCCTTCATGCATTCAACGCGCTGCGCCTTCGGGAGCTCAGCTGGTTATTCAACGCCTTGCTACCAGGTGTACCTCCTCCATTATGTACTCAACCATGATCAATTTTTTTGGGAGCAAGTAAAAAAAAGAGGCTGTAAGAGATGCGAAAGGACTCAAAGGAGTGCTCAGCATGATCCGATGTGTGGTAATGTCCCTTCATATAGCCAAATTAAGGCATGGGTAAAAAAGTTTTTTGTCTGTGTTTAAGGGGGTTATGATTTTTCACCGAGTAGGGGGCATTTTTCCCCGAGTACGCAAACAACTGCAACTCCCCAGCCACTATTTTCAATAGGGTTTTTCCTATTGGATTTAGTGGCAGTGACTAAATCAACTTCACACAGCCACTAAAAAGCCCCTCACAGATTTCGGTCTCAAATGAATTTTAGGTCCCCTCAGATTTGAAAGGGACGATAACATCTGTAAACAGAAGTACTCGTAATTGGAGTATTTATACTATGTTAAACATGACCGAGATGCGCAATGGGAAGTCCGGTAAAGACGTTCGTTTAATTCGGCCATCTCGGACACCAATATATAGATCTGGAAGTGTTGTCACTACTCGTGTTCGTGGGGTGTTGGAGTTCTCTTCATCGTCTATTTATTCAATTTTCTTTCGTGTTCTATTTTTCACGAGTTGTACACGACCGCCATAGATTTCGGGGCGATGTGTATATGGTTTGTTTTTTCGTGATGCAACTGAATCGCTGTCGTTCCAACAACTCTTAGCCGGGTCGGACAAATTTTGAGCCTTAACCGAGTCTGAAAGAGATCTTAACACAGTATTTCAACGTTAGCACGGAAGCTTAACTCTGCGCAGGAAATTAAATCCGTCCGATCCGCCTTCTCCAGATTGACATACATGGTGGACTACTCTCATAACGTTGGTCATCCGTGCTACGATATTCACGTTCAGTGCTGAGGAGAATGGCCCTTGTGGATGAGATGGTACATCACCCACTCCGGGTTTGGACGTGGTCTACGTGTGTCGAAGTGGAAGGCGGGGGTTCGAATCCTCCCGATGGCATATAACAGTCGGCTTTTTTTTTTTTGCTGTGAAAGAGACGACCGATAACATAGGCTTTTAGTTAGGTTCAGATTTAAGGAAAACAGTCCTCTGACTCCTTCAGTCCAAATGCTACGAACGTAGAAATGCTAAGGCATGGGCGAGAGACAAATTTCTTCTTCTTCCCATGATGCTCATTTTACCTAGTAAGCTTCCCGTGAACAGATCCTGTCCAGGTTCAAGGGTAAGCAAGCGCCGCACTTGACCCATCGACTTGAGATGCACCGCGGACATGGAAAGGGGAGGCTCCTCCCAAGGGCATTATTAGTGAGAGAGACGACCGGATGTTTTCTTCCATAGTGTGAAAAGATGACATCCTATCCAGCTTCAAGGCAGAGAAAATAGCCCTCGTAGATGAATTGGTAAATCACCCACCATTGATATTAAGTGTGTTGTTCGATGTGAATGAGAGGCGGGGGTTCGACTCCCCCCGAGGGCATCACTGTCGGCGTTTTCTTCGTCTTTTGCTGCGATCAAAACTGCAAAAGGATCAGCACCTATCCAGGTGCAGAGGTAAGGAAGATAGTCCTCGTGGATGAATTGGCAGATCACCCACCATCAATATCAAGCTTATTGTAAGGGCTTCGATGTGAGGCGGGGTTCGAGTCCCCCCGAGGGTATTGAAATGTTCGATCATTTTTTGTATTTATTCTTCATTTCTTTCTGCGCAGAGTCCCGCTGTCCCACATGGGTATGTGTAATGCCGCACGTTTTGCGGCGCCGGAGGATTGCATCCGTCTCGTCGTGGCGGGCATCCCAGTTAAGTACAGTGGCCTGATGATCCCGCGCATGTAACCCAAACTAGGCAGTGGCATGCCCCTTTCGGAGAGTCGTACTAACCCTAACCCTCGGCACTTAGTTACTTCGCTTAGGAATGGGAAACTTCGTGAGTTTGATGGGAAAGCGTGAAAGTTTGTCATTTGAAGTAATTTCCGGGAAACCTCGTCACTTCCATTAAATCAGATTTGAGGCAGAGCCATCAAGCCGCCAGAGTGGCCATCAGCGTTATTTTGATGCGCTGATGGCCGCATCACAAAGTTTTCCTTCATTTGCGTGAAGAGTGCCAACCATTCGATGCCCCTCCCCTATCCCTAACCTCTGACCCCTAACTCTAACCCAAACTCTAACTGGTGAATACCTGCAGTTAGGGCACGTGGCGCTTGCCCTAACTGCTTGAAGTGGGGTTACAGGTAGATACAGAACAGTTGGCATCAGCTAGATCATTGATACATATTAAGTTACGAGCTTTCACGGTGTACAGAGGAAGTGACAAAGTTCCACTAAATCCAGCTGAAGTCACGAACTTTCACGGTAGGTAGGTAGCATTACACGGCACGGTCCAACTCATGAACGCCGGTTCCCAGGAAGTATCCCAGTGTACAGGCACTAAGTACACTATCGTCCCTGGACCTCTCTGCACCCTGCTAACCAAAGCTCCCGGTCGCTATGTTTCCACACGCCGGGGTAAGACTAGACGAATACAAAGAAGTAAAAATTAGCCAGGTTAGCCTTCACTCAAATGCTACATAGGTACGGCGTAATAAATCTGGAGGACATCAAACGCGAATTCAGCAACCAGCGCAATGGTAGATCGGGGGTGTCGTAAATTAGGTAAATCATTGAAGAGTTGGTCGAGAAAAGCTGCGCGGAGATCTACGAGCACGTCTGAAGAGACACAGGTGATCAGCGCATGTTCAGGAGTTTCAACTTCAGTTTTACAGAACCTAGACACCCGATCTGCGCGGGTTATTTTGGGTAATGCGTGATTGACGTAGCCCAATATCTCTACGGCTAACAACAAGTGAGTTGAGAGCAACAGGGAGGTCAGAGCCTCCCTGTGTTTCTGAGTCTTCACAAGTATTAGGTAGTGCCGCATGCATGATATTACTTGGGGGCGGGTCCTTTGTCCTTTTGAGGTTCACGACGGCCATGTAACAAATTGAGTTTTTCCGAGGAGTTGATTTCACCTTGCAACCAATTCAAGCTCGAGTTTTTAACCATTTTAGAATACTCCTTGATCTTTTCGAGCGTCGTAGACTTGGTTGAAATTAGCTCGTGAAGCTTGAATGGCATTCTCGTCACAGCTTTGATGAGATCTTTGGCCCAAGACTTTTTTCCGTTGGCGGCAAGTTCAGTTGAACTATTAAAAGCTGCACGGGCATAACTGTCATGTTCAAAAAGGCCTAGAAAGTACACCAGGTGGCTGAGGTTGAGAATCGGGTGACGGACTCAGAGAGGCATGATCCCTGTTTTTGTGAATAGCGGTGCGATCATGGATTGGCGGTAGAGATTGAGTATTTGGCGGGTGAAGCTGATTTGAACTTTTACATAAGTGATTGACATGTCGTCTTCACCGGCGAGATCAACGCGCGCCATGTATGGTTCCTTGTGTTGCTTTGGCATGAGACGCCCCGTCATGTCTTCAATCCCCTTAATCCTATGCCACAGTACCGCGCAGTGTGTGCCTTGGCTATGTAGTGATCTGACAAGATATTCTGTGTGTCTAGTACACAAAATTGCATTTATTTCTCTACCCGAGCTGCATGCGCAAACATTCAAACTTCAAACTAAACACTGGCTGGGTAGAAGTCCGCATCAAACAGCCCGTTTGCCGAGGCAGAAGTATTTGGGCCAAGGGGACGAAGAAACAGGTGACCACAGAGGTTGACAGAATGAATGAAGCGACATGTGGGATTTACGGAATGCCTGAGTACTAGTTTGTGTCTGTTTGTGTACTTACGATTCACATCAGCTTACGAAAGACTTGCCAGTTTGGCGTTCGGATCAGAATCGGCCAAGTGGCAGTACAAATCGCGGGCGCAGGGGGATTGGAAGCAGACGCAGGCAGCGGCGGCGACCGCACGGGATAACACAACAGAGTTGGGGTACATTGAAAGATCATGTTCATACCATACTATGTGAGGTGAAACGGACTGCAGGCGACCACAAATGAGCTGGATGTGCATCCAGCGGAGTGGATGTAGCTCTTACTTTATTTTATTTTGAGAGGGAGGCATTCATCCACGCTGCATTGAGTAATGATGCTGTCGACGTCGTGCGTACACAAGGACGATCTAGAGATAGCAGAAGCAGGACAGTTTGGCTCGAAGGCGCAATTTTTTTTTTGCCAAAAAAAAAAAAAAAATTTTTTTAACGTGTTCTCTTCCTCTAACAGCAAAAACAGCAAGGTATCAACTCTAGGCCATCTCGGGCACCAGCGCACACGTCTGTGCGTGTGCGGGGTGGGGATCGGGACCTATCGGGGATTTATTGTGTTTTGGTGATGATGGGAGGGATCAAGAATCTGGATCAAGGACGGAATGCGATCAAACTCACGAACTTTCACAGCGCTAAGCGAAGTAACTAACTTAGTTACTAAGTGACGAAGATGATGCGGACTCCATTTCGGACGGAGCGGTGGGTGTCTAGCTATAATTTCTGTCCACTTGTGCGGAAATACTGAGGATGGTTTACGTGCGTTGAACCGTTGGTTCTAAACCGTGCCGTAGTCGGCCATCAGTTCAGCGCATCAATGCAGGGCACTGCCACTGGGCTCGTTTTGTCCCTTCGCCAATTTACGACGTCGACGATGTGCCGTATCCGATTGGTACGAGTCGGCCCATCAGGCTGAGCTGCACGGATTTACGCGCGACTGCACGGCCCACGCACACGACGGCGACCTAGACTACGCGACGACAAGACTACGCACGCTACCACCAACACGACATGCAGCCCATCCCCGCCTCGCCCCAATGTCGGAGCTACGTGCCTGCCTTCGTCGTCGAAGTTGCGCAGCTGCTTCGCGATGTCGACGGCGCGCACCCCTTCGCGATGTGGTGTCCGTGCCGTTCTTCGCCCCAGATGCATCGGAATCTGTACCTCGACCGCACCCTCACCCTTCTGCACCTCGCACGGATGCAGCAGGCGGCGCTGCCCCGCGATCGTCCGACGTCTCCGCTCTTTCTCGGACGCCGTGATTTCGAGCGACGCGCCGTACGCACCGATTCGAGTTCGGAAACGGGGGCGTAGATCGTGCGACGTCTCCGCAGCGATTCGGGTGCTCTTCGTAGGCGCTGGTTCGGGTTCGTAGCCTACGGCGACAGCGTGCCCGGGATTCTTGGACGGGTCCGCAAATGCAGTCGGAAGCCCCCGATCCCCGTACCGCCCTCCCGACCGATCGGCTCCGTGGAGAGGGTAGCTGGCGGATATGGGTCGGTGGGTGCGCGCGCGGGGTGCGAGGGATACGCTGGATACGGGATACGGGTGCGTACGTCGGTGGTTACTCGGGCTCTCGCCTTCACAGTGCACTGCGGGCGCCAAAGCGCCATTGAGCCCACTCGCTGCTTCGTTCGGCTGCTCACCTAGCCTCCCTCCGCCATTTTTTCTATCCTCGCGCATACGTAATTGAATGGACGCCCGCCCGACGACTGCGCGCGTAGTAGATCCCCACCCCCAACGACCTCGCTGCGCCTTCAAGCCTCCGGGGCACGCTTTCATCGCAGAATCCGCCACCTTCGTACCCTAAGGCAGGGTTAGGCTGCCCTCGCCCGCCAGGGCTTTCCTCCCTCTACGTGCTCCGCCACGTGGAGGTCGCGACTCGCTCGTATCGCCCCCCGCTTGTCGCCCGCCCCGTGCTTGGGATCCCGAGCCACCGTCTGGAACGAGGGTGCTTGCCTCAAAGTAGGGTGAAGGACCTGCGTGGCTCTGCGACCGCCCCGCTTGCGCCTTGGCTTTTTTCATTCTTCGTGCTCCTACCTTTTCCGCCTCATCTCGTCGTTCAGGGCGAGTTTATCCCTCCCGTGTTTACCGTCCCGGCAGGTCTCGTGCACCTTCCTTCGTTGAATACCCGCCTCTGCGCTCTGCATATACAGTTCTTTCTGTCTTGAGCTCTATCTATATACATATTCCTTGTTCCCGTTCCTCCGATGAACGTATTTGCTTACGAGCGCGCATATGATATG